TTACTTCGTATAATAATGTTTTTTCTGCAATATTTAACATTCAGAAATAATCTTAAATTTGTATTATATATTAATTTTAAACATTGTAAAGAGTAATATGTTTGCCATAAAAAACATATCGATTATAGCGCGGTTTTCAAGTGAGATATCGCAATTTATTAATTATTTTAATAATCCATGCAAGAAATATAATTTTTAATTAAGATTTCCAAGCTATGAGGTCAAATTAATTAATTGATGTATACTCTGGTATTTTTTACACTGGAATTTTCAAGATATGTTTTAAGAAAAAACAAAATAATCGAGTAGTTTTGTTTGCTAAATGCGAAACTTCTCATACCAAACCGTTTAGTGTAAAAGATAAAAGGTGATTCAGCCAGCAAGAATTTTTAATTGTCATAATTATTGAAATTTATTTCAAATAAGAAAATGAAAAAGTCANCAACTTCATTATACTTATCTTTTAGAACACTTATACTCTGGATTTCTATTTGGCTGTTTCTTTTTAATATTTCTTAACATTACAAAACTAACATGCAATTTATGAAAAAAACATCTAGGTCAAAGCAACCACCTACGTCCGTTGCCATGGTGATTGTGCACATTTGGAGTATACGAGTGCCCTCTGTTAACGAACACTAAAAGTTAAAAGGGTTACAATTTATTTATATATTTATGTGTTAATAAATGGCGGTATAAATTTTCGAACTAATAAAATATGAAATTTCTACGTATTTTTTTTTTTTTTACACATCACCAAAATATGCTATAATATATTTAGGAATTATAGAATTATAGCAACTAGGCTGCTTCTAAGAAGACAATATAACCACTCTGTTTACTTTCCCGGCTGTTATCAGGCCCGTGTTTGGCATGTGCGAGGCCCTGGTCAAGAAAAGCTTAGAGGCCCCCTTAAGGAATTCGTAATGGCGGTCAATTTTCACTAATTTTTTCAATTAGCTTTCTCTGCTAAACATATTCTTATATTTATGTTTAATAAAATTTATTAAACATATCTTTTGATTGTTTAGTATTTATAATAATTTTACTACTTGTTGTTCTATTCAATTATGCATATTTTCGAAGTTTGGAATGTTAGAATGCCCCCAATGCCTGGAGGCCCCTGGGCCCAGGCCCGGTAGGTCCACACCAAAAGATGGGCCTGGCTCTTATGCAAGTAGGAAAATTTATATATGAATTTTAATACAATAATTACAAATAATTTCGTAAGCTAATTACTCGAAATCTTTTTAAGTAATTTAAAAATTTCATTAAACAGAAAATATCTTGATTGAACAATTCAAAGGTGAATTTTATTTACCATTGAAATGTGCAATTAACTATATACATATATATATTTTTGGATTTATTATTAATTTTTGCAATAATTTACAATTTGATAGATATATTTTTTAATTTGTTTTGCACGATATTTGGTAATTTATAATATCATCAGTCTTAAATATCCTTGCAGGATAAAGACTTCTGCTTAATATTTCATTTCTTTTGTCAGTGTCCTTTACTGTGAGTGCTGATTTTTAGTTTAAATTATTCTTTGGTCGATTTCTCGCGTTTTGTACTCCCGTATTCATTTCATTAATTTTTTTTTCTCATTTATTATTTGTCATTCTTTCAATGTGTCCAGCCATTTTCATTTTGTTCTGATATTTATTCAGTACACAAAAGTTAATTATCAATTTTTAAATAGCATTTTTTAATCTAATTAATCTTTTTAAAAACTTCGATAAGCTGATGAGCAAAAACTTTAAAAAAATATCTTCACCTTCATTTCGCCAATTCCCACTCGTGGTGTTTAAGCAGAAAAAGTGAAAATTGACCCCTAAACACATCAGAAATTTGCGACTTCTTTTGTTCAAACGTAAACTCGTGCCTCTCTGTTTACAAACAATAAAAATGAAACACAGTTTTTTACTTCGTATAATAATGTTTTTTCTGCAATATTTAACATTCAGAAATAATCTTAAATTTGTATTATATATTAATTTTAAACATTGTAAAGAGTAATATGTTTGCCATAAAAAACATATCGATTATAGCGCGGTTTTCAAGTGAGATATCGCAATTTATTAATTATTTTAATAATCCACACAAAAATATAATTTTTAATTAAGATTTCCAAGCTATGAGGTCAAATTAATTAATTGATGTATACTCTGGTATTTTTTACACTGGAATTTTCAAGATATGTTTTAAGAAAAAACAAAATAATCGAGTAGTTTTGTTTGCTAAATGCGAAACTTCTCATACCAAACCGTTTAGTGTAAAAGATAAAAGGTGATTCAGCCAGCAAGAATTTTTAATTGTCATAATTATTGAAATTTATTTCAAATAAGAAAATGAAAAAGTCATGTATAATAACTCTTATAAATTTTTATATGTATCCTTCTTTACTTGGACCTGGTTGTTTTTCGCACTTATTATTATGGTGAAGCTTTTGTTTCCGTAAAAATAGAAACATTTCCTTTTGACTATAAACTACGTTCTCTTCTATTTAGTAATCGGAATCTACACCAGTATAATAATGAACAAGGCCGAAGTAGACAAGGATACAAACAGAACTTTATAATTTTTTATAATTTTTGCAAGAAGGAAAATAAATTAAATCACAATTTCGCAATTTCTTTTTCCAAATTTCGACAAAACTTTTAACTTAACATTAATTTAAATGCTTTAATGCAGTGCGACAGAAATGTGGCAAAAAGGGTTTCGACCCTAAAGTTTTATATTAAGTCGTTTAAATGCCGCAGAATATCTGTAATAAAGTCCAAATCCCGAAGCAGGATTTTATTGTAAATTCATTGTTGATTCTCCTTTCATTTCTATAATCATACGGATTTCATTGCCAAGAATTTTAGAACTCTGACAGAAGAGCCAACGTACATCTATAAACATTTATCTCTGAGTCATCAACTCGTCTAAGTTCTTGAAAACTTGCTAACTATAAAAAGTTAGGTTAAGCGTACAGTGGACCCCCTATAACACGGGTTCCTATAGTTCGGATTCCTATACGACGGCGAAAAAATTGCGAAGGTATCCGTACAAACATGGTAAAAAATCCTATAATTCGGTAAAACGTCATCGGGCAGCCGAACTATTTTCCGCCGTCCAGCGCCACGCTACAGAGAGTTTAGGCGGGTCACTTGAGTTTATTAACGTCTGTACAGTATGTAAATTAAGAACCGTAAGTCTAATACAGTACTGTAATTTTATACATTTCTTGTGAAAGAAGCATTTCTTATTCAACGGCTATAAAAATTATTTATATTAATGATGTCCTCAAAGTTCAACGAAGTTTTCGCAGAAAAATAACTTATCAGAAATCGCGGCCGCCGTTTGGTGCGCAGCTCCGCGACGAAAACAAGCTTAATCAATGGCGACGTCGAACGGTGCATACTCGGTAAGTAATCCTACAACTTTTTGTTTGTAGCATAGTTTATACGGATTATTCCCAAAAGATTATACGTGTTTTGGAAATGTTGAGTCGAATTAGTTTAGGAATCGATTAATTTTATGGAAGAAAATCTTTCAAACAGCCGCAAGTCCGTAAACTGCACACGTGCCGGGCTGTGATTGGTAAGGTCTCCTAAAACATCGGAACGTATCTACCGTGTTTTAGGGAGTCGACTGTAGATTGAAATTTACAAAATAAGTCATAGGATGAATATGCAGGGAGGAATGACAGATCTGAAACCACCCTAAATTGGGTTGTGTCTAAATTTGTAAATTCTGGTAGTCTAATTATCACCGATGAATGGAAGGGATATAATCACATCGACAACATTGAAGAGATAGATATTGAACATAGAACAGTTATTCATTCAAAAAACTTTGTAAAAAACCCCAAAACGGGTGATCGTACTCAAAATATTTGAAAGGTTATAGGGTTATTTAAAAATTAAAAAATCCTGCCAAAGCATTACAAGAATGATCTGTCGGACTCATACCGTGTTTCCCCGAAAATAAGACATCCTCTGAAAATAAGACCTAGCAGAGGTTTTGCTGAATTGCGAAATATAAGGCCTCCACCCGAAAGTAAGACCTCGCAAAGTTTTTTTACTGGTAACGGTCATCAACAGATGGTTGAAAGAGGCCATTTGCTTTTTGAAAGTAACTGATTGGTCAGCAGACAATCACGCCACACGGCATGATTTGAATAAGACTATGGCTTGGGAATCACAGATTTGAATAACGTTACGGCTGGTGATGGCTAATTGGTCGGCCGGGAATCGCGCCACATCATATTTGCATAGTGCTGCGGTTCAGTAAGCACTAATTGGTCGTCGAGCTCGATGTCGATGCTACGAAAAGGTTAAGTTGAAGCGAGAGTGGGATGTCCACTCCGGCACGGAAACTTCGTAAGTTCAGTTCGACACGACCAGATTTATGTCACTCTCGTTTAAGTTAGACTTGGGAATTTTTTTGTTTAACAATAAATGTGAATTATTTTTCATGGAAAAATAAGATATCCGCTGAAAATAAATCCTAGGGCATCTTTGAGAGCAAAAATTAATATAAGACACTGTCTTCTTTTCGGGGAAACAGGGTACATGTATTTGTTTATGCATAAGAAGTTCATAAATTGGCCCGCTAGAAAACCCGGAGAAAGATTTAAAATATTTGTAAAACACTCGAGTATGATATATCCAGGTATCGGAAGAACACCAAAATGGCTGGAAGCAGAGTGTTCCCGCCACACCAGTTTCTAATATTAAAAAGAAGGAAACACAGGAACGAGGGGGAAGGAGTAGACAACAAAAAAATTGACTAGTAAGACAAAAAAGAGAACGGTAACAAGTGCAGAGAAATCGACTACGTCAGGGAAGAACGTAGGAAAGAAAAAAAAATCACTAACGTGAGTAATATTTTTATAAATTTACTAAATATAAATAAGTTATTTTAGTTTAGGAGGCGTGTCCTCCTCGTTCAAAATATCTGTTATCGCGCAGTCTCGAGAATAGTTCAAAATGGCGACCGGAAGTTTCGCCATTATAGAACCAAAGTGTAAAGATTCGAATTCAGAGTTTCAGTATGTTTATATCATTGTCCCCTAACATCACATCGTAGCTATACTTTAGTTAAATAACTGTCAACTTTAACACCTGGGAGCAAAACGTCTGTTAAGTTCTCAGGCCTGACAACGACGCTTTCTCATCACCTCTCGACCTAATATCTCGATTTCGTCGGTTCCAAATATAGAACAAAAGAACACAGTGAGGGATTTTTTTACCAGTCCCTCGATCGGACCACTCAAATTTTTCCTGTGTTAAAATATACGGATAACCTGTGCTCCTTTGGATACCTTATCGCATAATATCTAGTTAACTCAGAACTGTGCTAACAGGAACTGTCATTCAGAACTGTCTTCCTTTCTTTCCAACCGGCTTGCAGCAGATCAAGATTTCATACAAGGTATTTATCGCCACGCGCAACTATTATAAACTCTCTCTGTCTCTCTCGAGAACCGTGGAACTTTAACCGAATTTTTTGTGTCTACTTTAATGTCCGTTTTATATATCTAGTATTATATCTACCACTCTCCAACTATTAGGACCGTTAAAGTCTAATCCTGTCTGCATTGTCTCAAGAATATCTTTAGGAATCACATACTCTGTTTTATTTAACACAAGGGATTTTTTCCACTCTGATATCTCTTCTATGGAAAGATATTTATACTTAAGAATAAACTTTTCTATTAATTTTATATTTTTATCTATTCTATAATTATCGATACTATTATTATATAGAATTTTAGTTTCTTCATTTTCCTGTTGATTTCTTTGGTTTTTATATTTTTGTAGACTACGCTTTAATTTTCGAATTTTAAAGTATTTAAATTATACTGTAGATTTTATGATTATAGAGTTAATATATTTCCTCCCGCGTGTTGGTATATTCTTATGTTATTGGTTATCAGTATTTTTGAACTTGTTGTTCCATTTAAGTAATATTCTATTTAACCGGAAGATAATCTATTGAATAGATCGAAAGCGTTTGTTATAATAAAAAAAATATCTCAGCGAACATTAAGGTGTTGATTAAGTTTTTATTTATTTACTTCTGCTGGGTACGAGTGTGGTTTATATCCTTTTAACAACAAGAATTAATTCTGCCTATATTTATGTATATCATACTTTTGATTTGAAAGAAGACAAATTTTATCTAATCCAGAAACAAGAACAGATTTTTTATATAAACAACACTCTTACAACTATACTTCGACCTGTTTATACAACTCGGATAATATAAATATATCTTTAACTAGCAGTTAAGCCCGGCGTTGCTCGGGCAAAAAGTAACGATAGCGAAGATTAAGATTATTACGTTACAGCCATGGGCGTAGCTAGGGGGGAGCCAGGGGAGGCATGGCCCCTCCCAGAGAACCTGGTGCCCCCCCCCAGAAAATCACAGCCGAAAAAGTGTTGAGTCGATTTGTAAAAACCTAAAGCTAAAATAAAAGTTTTGAATACTAAAAAAGGGTGAATGGCTTGCTCGGTACCCAATAAAGAACAATAATTTGAAATAATTCAATTTTGTGTCAGGTTGGCCTCCACTAGGCCCCCCACAACAAAACTCTGGCTACGCCCATGCCAATCTTACCTGTTTTCGCCGAATGCAAGAATTAGTTCCACCTGTTTCCAGACTAATTAGAAAATTTTTAGACGGGTCTAAAAGTATGTTTCATATACTGCATAAACGCAAAAATTCGCATGTGCGCCTGTAAATATTGCACGTTGCTTTTTCTTAACACTTCCATTGTCAACACGTTTATTATTGTCACTTCCATTATTAACACTTTCATTGTTACTTAAGATTTCCATTGTTAGTTAACACTTCCATTGTTAAGGAGTACACTTCTTTCATCCCTCGTGGTACCCTACTAAATGTGGTAGCCTACTAAAACGCAGTCATAAACGAAAAAAACCACATCTAAAATAGTACAATAGAAGCCAAGTTTTTCAGGGTACGCCTTTATCCTCTCTCTCTCCCCTTCGTTGAGTGGGGAATTTCAATGGCGTACCGTGGAGGGAGGGGGCGGCAAAATTTCACAATAAATAATAATAATATTTTGTAAAATTTTGAAACATCCTAATCTATACTTGCATCGCGCCTACGATAGTGCTATCGTCCGGACAGTCCGGGAATCGGCTCGCCGGGTGAACTAGTAACTTTTACATCCGAGGAGTTCTTGCGAAACCTGTTGACTTTTTTTTTTGCTTGTACGATTCATTCGCGTTCATACAAACCACTAATATCCAATAGAACTATTTTAAACAGGTCGCTGCACTACCGCCGAATTTTTCATTGCTTGTTCTGTGACAAAACTGAATTTTGGTCTTATAAATTGAATTACCTAAATAAGGGGGGACGAAATTTTCCTCTGCCTTGGGCGGCTGACACCCACGCCACTGGGGAATTTCGAAAAATTCCTTCTTACTTGTTAGTGTGCGTTCTCGTGACGTACCGTAACTGTGTACTAATATTCAACTTTCAACTCCTAACTGTTTGGGCTTTGCGCTTATTATTATTATATTTATCAACCCATCTCGATAATATTTTTCATTACTCTCAGAAATTAAATTCATTTTTATAATTAATACAACTTTCCACTTTCGAAACAATATATTTGTTTAATTTTAAATTTTTATATGTTAATTTTGAACTTTCAGTTTTAAAGTTTTTCTTGCATATTTAGGTTGCGTTAGGTCAATAATAGCCTTCTCTTATATCCAACATCTACGGACAGCCACATAAGAAGCCTCCATTTTCCTAACGGTGCTTCCGTCGTAGTTTCTACCAAAATGTGTATATATAGCCGGAATAATTACATGGATCCTAAGTGAGTTAATCTTCTAAAACTTTTGTTGGTATGGTCGCTGGCTTAACTTTTCGCGTAAGAATAATTCTAATCACAGATTTTTTTATATAAACAAGACTCTTACAACTACACTTCGACCTGTTTATAGAACTCTGATAATATAAATATATCTTTAATAAGTACTTTTTTGTATCTGTTATTGAAATAATTTTTAAGCTATAATAATAGTTTAAAACGTAAAAGAACAAAGTTTTTACATTTTATACATATCATGTACATTATTGATACATATGCATGATATTAAGAAATGCATATGATATGCATAAACATATGATATGCATAAACATAGCCTATATATCATATGCATAATGTAAAGATATCATATTCATAATATGCATAAAACATTTATGCAAGTTTTTGAAGACTTCCAATCGACCTTTCACAGTTATTAAAAGACAACTTTTTACAATAAAAATTTCCTAAATATTCGATTTTCCGAACTTTTAACAATTATTATAAATACATGCGCGAAAGAGCCTATTAAGCTAAGTCATTCTCGTTAGGGCGCGACTATGCAGACGCGAATTTACAGCGAGCGAGATATTGCGAGAGATTTAGTTTCCGCAAAAAAAAACCATGCACAAACGAGAAGCGAGAAATAACGCTAGCGAGAGCGAATCTCTGGTTCTCGAATATATCTGACAGGTTCTGATATTTATTGCGTTTCGCCTCTTCTCGCCGCATATTCTTGCTCGCTCGGAAAATTTGCTCGTTTGTGTCTGCATAGTCGCAGCCTTACGGTTGATTGTAACGGAAATTTTGAAACAATGTTTGAAAATTTTGTAACGTTTCCTTTCGTATATTTTTACATTATTCAAAATATTTATTTCTTCTTGGCTTTTTAAAATTATAACAAACGGCTTTGAATATTTGGTTATAGTCAACGATGAATTCGTTTAAAATTATTCATTGGTGATTTCTCTACCCAATGTGCATGACATTTATGAAATTTACTCGAATAATGTGAACGGTACTTGATTTGCATGGAAAGACGAATAACTGTTGAATAATTTTATAGAAATGTCATTTCACGTGTAAATGATTGATTGCTATCTTTTAAATTCCACGATGTTATGTCTATAATGAGGGAAATCGTATGAACTTTCATCCCGATTGCTTATTGCTAAAGCGAAAACAAAAAATGTTCCGTTTGTGCGTGTGTGTGTAAGCGCATATTGGCTCTATTTCGTTTAATTTTTCAAAATGAGATAACGATTAAAAAACAAAATCTGTGAAATTAGCTATTATAAAGACACGAATGATGATAAAATTTAATAGTTAAAAGCAAGGGCAGATCTAGATTAGGGTTTATTAAAGTCCAATGGGATCACTGTTTTTGTTAGATTAAAAATCTTTACATTGATTAAGATAACACAAATAACATGATATATTATCATTATTATTATATTTACTATACGAAAGGTGCTAATTGTTAATGAAAAAGTATTAAAAATTTATGGTAATAATTCAATTTTTTAGGCCCTTGACACTTGGGGGCCAAGCGCTATTGGTCCCTATGTACATCTCTATGTAGAAGGTCAGACAGTGAAGAGACAGAAAAGAGTCTTTTTTAATTCATTTCTATTTTAAAAATTAAGCTTTCTGCCATTATATAATAAATACTAATGTAACTTATTTCTTTAATATCTTATATTAAACGATGCTGCAGATAATATTAAGATAAAGTTATCTTAATATATCTTAGCACTATTTGCGAGGAAAGTTGAAAATTCGTTGCTGGATTTTTTTAATTATAAGAATATATTTTTATATATTTCTTAATCTTTATATAAATTTTTCTTTATATATATTTGTAACATTTTAAGTTTAAATTATATCAGTGACAAAACTCTATGTAGTTGAATAATAATTAAACTGCTAATTACATCCCGATGAAACATCAAGGTTTTCTGAACAAAAATAACACGCTAAACATTTAAATATTAAACTAAATACTGTATTATATATCATCTGATAGATGTATAGACTTGATGAGTAAGACTACGTATGCATCGTACAGATAATTGTAGACTTGAGAAATTATTTGAGAATGGAGAGGAAAGAGACAAGTAACCCATTCGATACAGCTGGTGTTTTCTCTCGAATATTTTTCTGGTATGTATTATTATTTTATCTGATTAATAATTAAAATTTTATAATATACATAACTATTAATTATGTTATTATCTGAAGTGTAATCTCTTAAACTTTATTCAAAACAATTTTTTATATAAAGAAGACTTTTACAGCTACACTTCCACTGGTTTTTACAACTCAGACATTATAAGTGTATTTCTAATAATTGAATTTTTTGTATGAGTTATAAATTATTATTTCTTTAGTACAATGTAAAAATACGCTATGTACGGTGAACAGAATAAAGATAAAAATACCGAACAAACTTTGTGCATTACAAAGAAATACAGTAAATATAATACAGTAAAAAAATTATCTTTGTACAAAGTCCGTAGGCTATATACGAAACCAAAACATTATATCAGTAATTACAGTAGAGCCTCGATTATCCGACTCCGATTAACCGACACCTCGATTAATCGACCGTCCTAGTCGGCAAATTTCAAATGTCCGCTAGTGATGTGGCGCTACATTATTTGGCTATGTCTTGGCTACTTTAATATTATTTTTACGTGTTTTAGCTGGTAACACTCATTCGACCATGAAAGGGAGCCAGTATTTAAACGATGCTTAATTTTCTAATTTTTAACGATACAATAGCGACGATTATTATTTTTAAAAATTTTTGTTAGGCTTAACATCGATGAAAATTCAACGCGAAGTAGGTTAATAGCGATATACTAATTATATGGGATATAATAATATACTACATTAGTAATGGATTTTTTTCATACTTTTCGGTTATCCGACTTTTCAATTATCCGACCAATTCCAGTCCCCAATTGAGTCGGATAATCGAGGCTCTACTGTATAACATTTACGCATTATTCCGTGCATTACACAACTTCAGTACATAAATAAAATATCGGGTAGAGGAAAAATATAATTACAAAAACAATACGAGTATTCCTATATATGAAAATTATTATTCCAAAACATAGACAACTAGTCAGCTAACTGTGACAAACTGTGACGACTTGATGCCATTAAATTAGAAATAAATGGAATTTAAAATAATAAAATAAAACTAACAAATAAAAATTATGTTGTTTTTGAAACAGTGTTTTGCAAATATATTGGACTTCGAACTCAAATGAGAGTTATAAATAAACACTTGGCTTTATTTTCATCACTTTTTAGTTGATAAGTGACAACAGCACGTTTCGGGCATAAAGCCCCTCATCAGTCAACTAAAAGACAATTTTTAAAAATACGTAGTGTATAAGATACCGTGTACCTGTAATACAACTAACTACTATATAGGAGAAACTAAACGCAAACTGAGTATACGAGTAAAAGAACATATTGCGGATCTCAAATATAATCGAATATGTTTCATGACCATTGTTTAATAAATAACTGTAATGTAGATAAAAATAATGCTAAAATCCTATACAAAGAATAGAAATATAATAGAAAATTTAAAAAAAGCGTCTTAATTTTAACAGCCAAAAATTGTAACAACAAAAATTTAAGGGTAAAAATAAATGAGAACTGGATGAAAATCGACATATTAATATCGATTGTAATTATCTATAAAAGTTATGCTGTTGTTAATATTAATAATATCTTTGTAATATGCACATCAGTACAAAACTGCAATGCAATGTGTAACGCAGATACAGTTAAAAAAAACAATAATGTAAAAAATTGTCTATTTCTCTTTCATGATATATATGTGATTATGTCTAAGATACCTGGATATTGTCAAATAAGTAAAAGATCATTTATAGCAAATTCTAAGGAAATTACTACACTTATTGTAAAATAAGTTGTGCACGCCTATTAAGACCTTGTATGTATAACAGATTAAAAATGAATATGGTAAGAAATATACATTATTATAATTCTGTTTTATTAGATATTTTATGTAATATTTTAAAAAAATTGTATCTTTTAGTTGACTGATGAGGGGCTTTATGCCCGAAACGTACTGTTGTCACGTATCAAAAAAGTGATGGAAATAAAGCCAAGTGTTTATTTATAACTCTCATTTGAGTTCGAAGTCCAGATAAAAATTAATGAAATAAATTAATTAAATTTATTTACCTGGAAAAATACGAAAATAAGTTATATGCAAAATAGATCAGCAAAAAGTGTTATTTTTACACCCAATAAATAATCACACAAAAAAGTTCACACAAAAATCTACGTAAAATAATAGATGTTTTAAAACTAACGGTAAAAAAAAATTTAATTTATTAACAAAAACAGGCGTTTTTGAATTAGTTACCCAGAAGATGCCTTTTTAAAATATGCAAATTCAAACTTGAGTATCTCGATAATTGCATGCAAAATATTAACAAAACTTAAAGCACATTTGCATATTAATATTAATAACTGATACCTCGAGTTTCAAAGCTTTCGTAAGAAAATGACATTTGGCATCAACTACCTTAATAGATAATTGATAATTTGAAGTAAAAAAATAATTTATTTAAATTGAATATTAAAAAAAAAATCGCATCTAGAGCTACTTACCGAGTAATGAATTGCTTAGAGTTAGAAAAATTTTGATACTTTAAATTATGTAAGAGTTCGATTGGTGAACATTTAAGGAAAAAATTTGTTTTCATACAAAGAGCAAGTGCCTTGGCTTGCCTTGCATTAAATTATAATTTTTGTTCAATAAACTGAAGTATGGAATTCCATACTTGCAAAAATATGAGCTATGGAGTCTTCCATACCTTCCATAGTGGAAACGACATCCCTGTGCGAAAAACATATAAAACAAAATTATTTACTTTATGGTTGATTGTAACGGGCCGTCCATAAATTACGTAAGCTATTTTGGGGTGGGTGGGGGTAAATGATTTCTTACGATT